TCCTTCTCCTCCCTCCTCCCTCCTCCCTCCTCCCTCCTCCCTCCTCCCTCCTCCCTCCTCCCTCGCCTACCTCTGGTTGTGGTGGTGGAAAAAATCGGCCCCTGCCTCGGCCTTCCAGGAGATGCGCAGGGACGAGGAGAGGCGGCGCCTCCGCGCCCAGGAGGAGGTGGGTGACCGGCTCGACGCGTGGAGGCGGGACCTGGAGCGCGAGCGTCGGGCGGCGGCCGAGCGGGAGGTGGACGAGGCTGTCCTCCGCTGGAGGCGTGACGCGGAGCGGGACAGGCCGAAGGGTCGCAGGCCTAGAGTTAAGTCGGGCGTGTCCCCCTACAGGGAGGTTTTCGCCGAAAAACAAACATACTCCCAAAATACCCCAAGAAGGTCAAAAAATAGTAGAAAAATAGTCCCCGGACCATTTTTGGATTATTTTAGGGTTATTTTTGGGGCATTTTTTAGTTGTCGTCGAAAATCCCCCTGTAGGGGGACAGGCCCGATTTAAGCCTAGAGGTTGACGCCAACACCAGTGTCGGCGATGTGCCTCCACCGAGAGAGAAGATCCCGCTCTCGGCGATGGTGGTAATGTGTTCTGGCTTCCAAGGTGACCGAGATATTACCACCAGCACCGAAATCTGGGATGAGCTTCCCCTTGTGGAGGGAGCCCCCTGTGTTGGTGTTGGTGCCCATTTCCAGGCCTCCGAAAGGAGCACAAGATGCACAAGCATCACCCCAGGAGGTCATTAACCCCCCCAAAACAATTCGGAGCAAGGATAACATGTTTCCGCACCGGGAAGCGTTAATCCCGGCACTCGCCGTTAGGAGCACGACTGTCAAGGTCCTCGCGTTCTCGCCGCCAGTCCTCATTGACATCGGTTGCGGGGGGGAGGTGGATAATTGTTTTGCTTTGCTGTTTGGCGCAGTGCTAAATTTATCGTTTGGCTAAATTCCCCCCGGAATCCCACCAGCCCTCTGGGCGACAGGTGGTCTAACGAGGGTCTCTTCTCTCTTCCACAACCCCTCTTCCCTTCGGGGAGGGGAACCCTCCCTCCCCTCCCTGAGGTTTTTGTTGGAGGGGTCGCGAGGTGTCGGAGGCTCCTTTTTCGGCCTCTGGGAGGGCCAATTTTTCACACCCCTCACGATGATCGTGGCCTCCGAATGGGGAAGGGAAATCGAGTACTCCCCCTCTTTTGACCGACCGCCTCCAAGATGGCCCCAAGAGGCCCTCCAGGGCTCCAAAGAGGCCCCCTAAGATGGCTTCAAGAGCGCCCCAAGAGGCCCCAAGGGGGCTCCAAGAGGCACCCGAGAGGCCCCCGAGCAGCCTCAGAGAGCCCAAGATGACCTCCAAGATGGCTCAGATAGCCCAAGCTGGCTCAAGATGCTCTCAAGATGCTCCAAGCGGCCCCAAGACCGCTCCAAGACGGCTCGAGATGGCCACGGAGCCTCCCACACCTCCCTCTTTGTTTGACTACGCGTGTCTCTTCCTCTCTCCCTGCGTCAACTCTCATGGGCATCGTTTCTGGATGGGCTGGTGGGGATACGGTTGGTACGCGGGCTCGCGAAGCAAGTCGAAAGCCGTGCAGGACGGGCGGGCTACGCGCCGACGGAAACAATGGAAGAATGTATCAATATCGGTGCGGTGCTACTGGTAACCTTGGGGGGGTTTAATGACTCCCTGAGCGCGGGCTTCTTGGATCTGGGTTGGCTCGAATCCAGAATTCGCCAGACACGTCCTGGAGCCAAGCGGGCAACATCTGCGCAGTCACAGCTTGGGAGCTCGTTGGTTTCAACGTGCCCCTGGCTGCGCCTGCGGCGCCGACCCTGGCGTGTCCCGCTCGCCACGGAGGGGGGCCCAACGCCGATCCAAGAGACCCGCACGGACCTTCTGCAAGCCTGTGCTCATGCTGCCGCCCTTCCTCCCTCCGACAGGCAGAGGGACCTCGAGCGGGAGCTGGACGAGTGGAGGGCAGAGCTGCTCCAGAGGGGGCGCGAGAAGGCCGAGCGGGATGTGGCGGAGGAGGTGGCCGGGTTGTCGGCGGACCGGCGCGCGGCGCTGCAGCGGGAGGCGGACGAGGGGCTGAGCGCCCTCGAGGCGGAGCTGGAGCAGAGGGCCGGGCGGCTGCGGAGGGAGGCGGAGGCGCGCCAGGAGGAGGAGCGCTCGGCGCTGGAGGCGGCCCACGCGAGGGGGCTCCTCGAGCAGCGGCAGCGCCACCAGCGGCAGCTCGCCGAGGCGGAGGCGGAGGCGCCTCCGCCGCCGCGGGCGCGGTCGCGGTCGCCGCCGCCCGAGGCGGCGGCTGCCGCGGCGGCAGAGTCGGAGTCGCTGAGGGGGGAGCTGGAGGAGGCGCTGCGGTCCAGGGCCGCCGTCGAGCAGAGGCTGCGCGAGTTGCAGGCGGAGCTCGCGGCCGCGGAGCTCGCGCGCGCGGCGGAGGCGCGGAGCGGCGCGGAGCGCGCGGCGGAGCTGCGGGGGGCGGCCGCGGAGCTGGAGCGGCTGCGGGCGGAGCTCGCGGAGGCCCTGCGCCGCAGGGAGGCGGCCGAGTCGGCGGCGGCGGCCTCGGCGCCGATGTCGGCCGCGGCGGCCGCGGGCGCGTCACCCGTGCGCGGCGAGGCGGCGCACGTCGACGAGCTGCGCACGGAGCTGTCGGAGGCGAAGGCGGAGCTCGAGAGGCTGCGCGAGCCGGAGCGTCTCGGCGCGGCGGCGCAGCAGGCGGGCGCGCCGCCTGCAGGGGCCGCGGAGGCCGGGCTGGCTCTGGGGGGGGGGTCTGCTTTGTGAGCTCTTAGCTGGCGAAGAACTATCGAAGACGCCTGCGGCGAATCACCGCCGCCCCCTGCCTTTTTGGAAGCGCATGTGTGGCCGAAAGTTGGGCCAGAGCTATCGGGCCATGTGTTCCCCCAGCTGTCGTTGAAACCTTTCGGGGATCACGTGAGGAAGAGAACGAGGAGAAAAGGTAAAAGGGAGTAGGAGGAGGATGAGGAGGAGGAGGAGGAGGAGGAAGAGGAGGAGGAGGACGCCTCTTGGAAGCCTCTTGGGGCACTCTTGGGGTCTCCTGGGAGCTTCCTGGGGGCCTCTTGGAGGCCTCTTGGGAGTCTCCTTGGGCCTCTTGGATCCTTTGGGGGCTTGTTCGGGGCCGCTGTGGCCGTCTTCGGGCGTTCCTGGCCCGTCTGACGCCGCCGTCTAAAGCCGTCTTGGATGCCTCTCTGAACCGACTTGGGGCCCTCTTGGGGCGCTTCAGGGCCGTCCTGGAGGTCATCTTGGGCGTCTTCGAGGCATCTTGGGCCGTCTTGGGGCCGTCTTGGGGCCGCCTTGGGAGCCTCTTGGGCCGTCCTGGGGCTATCGTGGAGGCTTTTTGGGCGATCTTGTGGCGACCCCTGAGAGGTCGAAGTCCGAGTAGCGGAATGACCAGCTGAGATGAGATCATCGCTTGGAGCCAAAACTATGTGCAACGTCTGGGGTGCAAGGCACATGATGCATGTTTGCCTGGTAAGGAGCGCAATCCACGGGGAGCAGCCTGCGGTGTTTTTTTTTTTTTTTTTTTTTTTTTTTTGTTTTTTCCTCTGGGGTGCCACTTGTGGGGTGCACTGTACGAGGTGCAAGCTACGGCGTGTCTATAGGGGGGGGGGGCCTATCTGGGGACCTCATGGGCGCGACCCCAAGTACACAGTCGGACAGAGGTGCAAGGTCTAGGTCGGTTCTGGGAAGGTACCCTAGTGCTCTTCGTGCTTGTTGGATGTTATTGTTCTTGGGCCGTCTGAGGGCGTAGGAAGGCCGAAAAGAAGTAAGTGTCAAACTGCTTGGAAAAACCAAACGGAAAACCTCCTTACCTCTTGGAGGCCTATTGGCCCGAATTGGAGGCCTCTTGGGGGCGTCTGGGGCCGACTGGGGCCGTCTTGGAGGCTCCTTGGGCGGACTTGGAGGCATCTTGGACTCTCTTGGGCCGTCTTGGAGGCCATCTTGGACCATCTTGCACGACACAACGGCTCAGCGAGAGGAGAAATATGCACGCCGCGCAGGAGAAGCGGCACTAAGAGATTGCACCTAAGAGTCCATCGTGCCAATGGAAAGACAATGTTGTTTAACAACTGCTTTCCAAATTGGTAGTCCATGCACTGCAACAGGCGCGCCTTGGGAGCCTGGTGCTCCTCTCCACTACTGCCGTCGCCACTGGAGCCTTAAGCGCGCTAACGTGTGGAAACGCCGCAGAAGACACACATATACCGGTACATGCGCACAGCGAGGGCTCCTGCGTTCAACGCCTCAGGAGGAGGGAGGGGGCGCGGGAGGGAAGGAGGCGGGAGGGGCGGGAGGGGGCGCGGACAGGAGGACATCGCCAGCTCCGCCTGTTCCCAGGTCGCCGCTGCCCACTTCAGGCGGGGCCCTCCCCGTGCTCGAGCGCCAGCCGGTCGCGAAGAAGGTGCCGGCGAGAGCCCGGCGCAAGAGCAGCAGCCCGTAGTGGAGACGGGTCTGGCTGGGAAGCATCAGGAGGGAAAAAACACAGACATAATTAATCGTCCGTTCCCCAGAAAATATGGGAAAATATGGGAAGTGGGGGGAAGACAGAAAACGCAGAAAATATAGGAAAATATGGGGAATCTTTTTATTTGTGTGTATTTATTTGTGTGTCCCAGGGTCCCTTCAAAGCAATCCGCCCAGAAGCCACCCATTGCCGCGTCAACTCTGCAACGCTCAGCCTGTGCTAGCGGGCTCGCCGCCTGACTTCTTCATCCGGCACGTGCGAGATCATCGAGCGTGGCACGTTTTAGATCTTTCGTAGACGACGGGCCGGGAAGGCATCGACCTTGTTTTTGTCAGCCTGGCGCAAGCAAAGTGTCTCTGGCCTGTACAACAATTTCGGCACCACGCAAGCATTGTAAATCTCCGTCTTCCTGTCACGCGAACTGTTCGCGTGTTTCCAAACGAAGTGTCGAACGCAGCCGATGCTTCGCTAAGCCTGCGCGCGATGGACGCCCCTGGAGACCCCTGCCTTCAGTAGGCTGCCAAGACAAATGGCGCTATTTACCTGCTTGATCAGCACGCTCTGCGGCGTGGCCACATGCGCGTTGTGGCGGGCCTGCACGTGAACCGTTTTGACCAGTTCGGTTCTAGCCCATACATGCTGGCTTGGAGCCATTCGAAACAGGACAACCTTTGCAACCAGGTTTTCTGGGTGACTGGCGCGCTGTGCCCAGGCCCAGGGGCAGTTCTCAAAAAGAACCACTGACCTTTCTGAACATCCAGCACGCCGGGCACTCCTGTGGCAAGCCAACAGGGGCCGTCGGATCGAAGACGCCTACGGCGAATACGCGCGCATACTGTTGCGCCGACGAGCCCCACACGCCCAAGGGTTATCTTTACCCGGTCCCGCCCTGGGTAACGACGACCGTTTTCGGAAATGATAAAAGATTGGTATTAGGTTCGTATGTCTTAAAATTGCACATGACCCATGACCAGCCCGAAATGGTAGAATGGTCGCGAAATGGTCGAATTTCAAACGGCCGTTGTTAGATGTCGGCGGCGAGCGAGGGGGGGGAGTGAGAAGGAGAAGGTGGCGGGACTCTGTGGAAGGCCTCCCGCCTTCTGGGAGGTGTCCTGTGTCTTCGGGGAAGCTAAGAAGACTTCCCAAACGGCCAGGGGACTCGCGAACCTTCTGAGAAGGCCTTTTCTTGCTCGCTGCCCTCCCTCGCTCGCCGCCGAAACTGATAACATCTCACCCTCCGCGTATGATGTTCCAGCCTACTTTAGCTGTGCTCGCCAGAACGAAGTTCCAGCGCCAAGCCAGCACCGAAACTGGAGGGTGTCCACGCGTCGAGCCCCGGGAGCGTGTCACTCGTTCGACGCCTCGCCAGCGTGTCGGGCAGACACTGCTTCGATGCCTTTCTGGGTGCTCGAGACGGTTTTTTGGGGCTGCGGCCCCTTAAGTAATCGAGGGGGAACCAGATGACCCTCCGCCTCGACCTGCTCAGTGCTCTGGAGGGTCTTGGGGCTCCTCCGTCCTTACGGGCTCTCTGCGCGCCGCCGCGCCACGCCTCGGGCCTCTGCCGCGCCCCCCCCCGGGGAGCCCACGCGTGCCGCGGGCGGCGGCGGAGGGCGGCCCGCGGCTCCAGAGACGGGCGTCCGTGCAAGCGGGGGCCCGCCAGTCAGAGGAGGAGGAGGTACCCCAGATCTCGTGATAACGGGAGGGGGGTCTCATTTCGGGGGGGGGTCTCTTCCAGGCTATCTTGGAGGGCCTGGGGGGTCTGGGGACGATGTTTTGGAGGGTTCTCCCACGGGGGAGGTCTGAAATGGCTTGTCTTGGAGGGTCCAGACCCCCTCCCTTTTATTACGAAATCTGGAGTATCCATACCTCTACCCTTTCATCGCTTTCCCCTTTCTGGGCCTCCTCGGAGGCCCTCGGCGCCACCGCTGGATTCGCCTCGAGATTCCCCGGTCAGAGCGCACCCCAGGAGAGGTCTGGGGAGCAGCGGTATCGGCACCTTCTGGTCTCCCCAGTTCGAGCTTCATCTCGGGACCCTGTATGGCCGTCTTGGACGCTACAACGAGGACAAGCTCGAGAACTGCCAAAACGTACGTTTCCCCGACGGAATGGAACGATTGTCCGGTGTTCGGGCTCTCTTGGGGATCGTCGTGGAGCCCACTTGGAGCGTCTTGGAAACCATCTTGGGCCGTCTGGAAGCCGTGTGGACTGTGCAGGATGCTCGTCCAGTACGACGTTCTTGGCCATGGTGCGCGCGCCGCTGTCCTCCTCTATCCTCCTCCTCCTCCTCCTCCTCCTCCTCCTCCTCCTCCTCCTCCTCCTCCTCCTCCTCCTCCTCCTCCTCTGCAGAGCCAGGGGTGCCCTGGCCCGGGCCGGGCTGGGACGCAGGATCCTGCAGGGCCGTGCGGGGTCCTGCGTACGGCTTGCCTGGCCCGGGTGTGCACTGCCCCGAGGGTCCGCAGATCCCGGGAGAGGAGAGAATCGGGCCGAACGAAAGGGGGGCATTGGGAAGGGGGGGGGTGACGAAATTTGCCGCATGCAGCTGGTTTCTTTCGGCCCCACCGAGGGGCCCATTCCTCGATACCTAGCCGCCTCCCGCGCCGGGAGGCGCCGGGAGAATCAGCTGGGTGAGCTGATTCTCACCCCCCACATGTGCTATCCCCCCCTTTTGCCCGGCCCGAGAGAAGGATCGGCCACGCGCAGAGGGGGGCAGGGGGAATGTCGGAAGGCTTCTTAGACTTATGTTGCTCCCATCGTACTTAAGGACCACATCCCAGGAATCATTTCGAGCACCCGGAAAAGTGTCGAAAGAGTGTCGGACGAGTGTCTCCCAGGGCCCGACACGTGAAAACCTTAGAGTTGTTGGGTATCTTTCTGGTGCTCGAAATTCTTTCTGGTGGTTAAGGCTAAAGTAGGTTGGAAAATCATAATCTTAGACGCACCCCTGCTGCTTAGAAGGCGCTGGCCTCGTCTATGAGATGTAGGGCCGCCGCCTTCTCAGGAGCAGCCTCTTTCTAAGAAGCCGTCCCTCCTCTCCTTA